AAGGCCGCCCCCCCCCCCCCCCCCGCCGCCAGCCGGGCACGCCTGACTCTCTCACGCCCCTCCTGGCCGCCCAATAGCTCATTCAGACTTGTACAGTCCGTCCCTGCCAGCCCCGTGTGCTCTTGTGCAATGGGGCACGTGTGTCACCATCCGTCACCAGGGTTGCACCATTCCTGGCAGGTGGCCTCCAGCACTGGAAAGTCACTTACTCACCTGGGGGAACCGTTCCACCCTCTCAAAGGCCCCACATCAGACACCCCCTTTGACGGAGGCTCCCCCCAGCACGCAGCCACCTTGCACCGGATGCTGCCCGGCGGGGGCGCCCTGGAGTGACATGGGGAGCTCAGAGCACGTCTAGGTCCCAAGGCCACCCAGCCGGACCTTGCTCGCGGCTGCTGAGCATGGAACCCATGGGCAGCCTGGCCAGTCAGTCACTGGCCTGGGGAGCCCACAAAGGACCCCCGCCCGTGTAAAAGCGGGGAGCCCGGCAGGGCAGCCGAGGGCTGGTCTCTGTGATCGTTAGAACTGGGCGTCAATTGAAGCCAGCGGCGTTCAAAAGGCCCTGGGGGACATGCCTGGGGGCAGCTGATCGGGGGTTACTGAGGCTGGCTCGTGAGGCGTAGCTGGGGCACAAAACTCCACTCCTGCCCCACACAGCCGGCTTGGCCCCTGCCCTGTTCTCATGCGGACAAGCCGAGAGGGAACAGTGCCCCCTAGTGCCTTGCTGTGGCATTGCCCGTGCAAGCCCCATTTCTCCCCACAACCAGCTCAAGGCGGCTCCTGGATCCGGATGCCTGGGCGCCGGGTGCAGAACCCTCTTTGCCAAGGCACAACCCGGCTCCAGGCCCCCTCAGAGCTGGGGAAGGGGAGGGACCGTTCATAGCCTGGCTCTGGGCTTTGCTGCTTGCCCTTCCCCCGATGCCTGACCACGTGCTCCCGTCCTGTTCTGTTCCCCGAGAAGAGGGGCAGAGCGTTTAGCACCCAGCAAGCTGCCCCCAGCAAGGGCCAGCACAGCATCAAGTCCCAGCCCTGGCCAGTGGGCTCCCTGCAAACAGCCCCCCCCAACTAAGCTCCAGGCGGCCCAGAAAGTGCACCCCTCATTTCAGTCTGCCGGCTGCAGTCTGCCCCAGGGGCTCTCTCCATGGGGGGAGCAGTCCTGTGGCACCTTAGAGCCTCCCAAATATACCTGAAGTACCATGAGCTCTTGTGGGCACAGCCCACTTCCTCCAGTGAGCTTGAGTGGAGGAGAAAAGGGGGGGGGGACTCCTCGGAACGTGAAGGGAGAAGTTAAAAAATACCTGCCGTTGCCGTGCCGGTGCTAGTGAGGTTTGCACTTGCACGGGAAGAGGACGTCCGTGCGAATCAGTGTGAGATTCCTTGTGCAGTGGATGGATTTCCACTCCACGCGGTGAACGCGGTGCCTTGCACGGTTACAGGTCTCGGAAGGGTAGCCGTGTTGGTCTGGAGTTTTACAAACCAAGTGCAAACGTTCGCACCAGGACGACAATTGGTAGGTCCCCGTCCCCCCGCTTCTCCTCGCTTATTCTGAGACTCCCCCCTTTTTCCCCTCCACTCAGGCTCATCGGAGGAAGTGGGGTTTGCCCACAAAAGCTCCCGGTTCATATATTTTGGTTAGGCTCTGAGGTGCCACAGGACTCGTTGCTTTTAACGTTACAGACTCACCCGGCCGCCCCGCGGAGACTTTCTCCAGGGGTGGGAGGTCGTCTGGGACAGACCGATTCTTGGCTCACTGCAGAGAAAAGCCCCAGCAAGGGGGTGCCCGTTCCCTAGGGCAGACCGTGCCCATCTGCCCAGACAGCCGGGGGGGGGGATGTTTGGTTTGGCCGGACCTCTTGGCTGGGCTCTCTCCTGCTCACCCAGAAGCCTTCAGTGCAGCGACTGGGGAGACAAAGACCCCCCTTTGGGGCCCGAGCAGTGAGCCACCTGCCACCAGCCCACCCCGAGCGGCCATCGCCCCATCCACTGAGCCAAGGAGCAGGCTGTGCCCCCGGCAGGCAGAGTGCAAAGGAGCAAGGGGCGGGGGATGCTCCAGGCCAGGCCATGCTGCTCTCCCATCCCGTCCCGTCCGGGGCTCACCCGTAGCCTCACACCCTGGCTGCCGTGCAAAGGCAGTTCCTAGCTGAGCAAATGCTTCCCTCCCTCCCCCCACCACGATGGGGGCTCGTGCTCAGTGGGTTTAATGGTCCCAGCCCCCCCCTTACAGAGCCCTTCGACACTGCCCAGCCCCCCCTCGCCAGCATCCGAGCGTCCCCAGCACCAATCCCAGCTGGTCTCAGTCAGCTCCAGAGCAGGGCTCCACATGGGCCGTGTTGGGTGTCGCCTTCCTCAGGTCCCCCTTTGAACCCTGCCCTCCTCTAAAGGCCCCTGTGGGGGGCAGTCCTGGCCCACAGCTGGCGCTCCGGCCTCCCAGTGATGCCAGCGTGGCCCTAACGTCACCGGGAGCCACCCAGCACTCACGAGCATCACACACCCTTCTCCGAGGCCCGATCTGGAGTGGGCCTGTCCCCTCCTTGCTCTACACAGCACTCAGACACAGGGACCCGCCCCCCGCTCCTCTCCCTGGAGGGCGGCCAGCATGGCACCCTGGCCCTCTCCCTCGGGCCTACCTCGCTTGGGACGCGGCCCTTCCCTTCCCAGGCTGCCCCCGGGCGCCCCTCTGACCTGCAGGCCTAGCAAGACCACAAGCGCCAGCCCCGCCGTTTAATTCTGTTCGGAACACACGGCCCTACCTGGCCCGCAGGGTCTCTGCTTCCCGGGGGCGGATGCAGGATCCCTCCCCCCCCGATGCTGAGTAGAGTCTCTGGGCATGTAACAGTACATTGCTGCCCCAGTCCCTCTGGGGGCTTTTGTGCGGCTTCAGTCCAGCCATGCCAGGGGGTGGCGAGGCACATACAGAGCCACTCTGGGGCGGGGGCAGCCAAGGCCCCAGCTCCGTCTCCCCCCAGCTCTCCCTGGCAGAGTCCAAGGCCCGGAGGAGCTGAGGAGGCCGCGCGGGAGCAGGGAGAGTTCCAAAGCCAGCAGGGCAGTGGCGAAAGGCGGGTGGAGCTGGCCCCCGTTGGCCCGAAACCTCCTGGCTGAACCCCCCCAGGAATCTCCCGCCTGCAGCGCGACTCCCCGGGGGAGGGAGGAGTCCCTCACAGATAGTTATCTTCCTCCTCCTCCTGCTCGTCCTCCTCGTCGCGAGCCAGGGCCTCGATGTCGTGGGTGATGTCCGTGATGCGGCGGTTGAAGGACTCCGCCTCGGAGTGCAGGGACCAGCTGTCGTAGCTGCGCACGGCGGAGGCCGACGTGTTGCTCATGCTGCGCTTGATCCGCCCGAAGCTGTCGGTCAGGATGCCCCCTTCCCGGATGCCGATGCTCTCCAGGAAGGT